CGAAGTGATGCCTTAGGAAGAGAAAAATGCACCAGGTTCAATTATCCCACTTGGGGGGTGGGGGGTGAAGGAGCGTTGTTTATCACGTATTTCAAAGGAATCGAAAATGCTGATAAAAACTTCTCCAGTGACCAAGTCCTTCCTTGTGGAGTCTGTACAGTCACATTCGATTAAGCGGATAGCAGCCAGCCCTTTCTCGTTAGCAAAGTTTGGGTCCAGTGGCACTTTTAAGACCAACAAAGTTGAATGGGTATAAGCTCTCGTGTGCACGCTGTGTTGGTCTTCAAGGTGTCACTGGACTGAAACTTTGTTCTATTGCTTGAGACCAACACAACGCCCCACCTGAATCCGTTGTTGACAGAAGGCATCCTTATTGACCACCAGCAGACACTCCTGGGCACAAGGACTTCCCTTAACAAGTGGCACCTTCATAATTTTACAGAACGGCACAGAAGCGGGCCTTACAAAAAGCAAAGATGAGGCCAACAAAAGGAAGCAATCAAAGATCCTCACAGATGACCAGTTCATTGCACATGAAATCCACAGCCCTTGAGCAGAAAACTCAAACATCTCCCCTGGCAGTTTCACTATGAACATGCATGTTGCATGGTAAGGCTGCACAATGACACAAACAAACAAGGATTCCTGTACCATTTTTTTAAAACCTCTTTCGGGGGGCTGACTGCTTTTTTTGCTGTCCTAGTCGCCTGATGGTCCCAGATGTCCACAAAATCACTTCTATTTGGAAACACCAGCAAGGCAAGCTTTTGGCCCTGGACTCCCCAGTCATACCTTTGGAGCACTCCTAAGCAGGTCTACTCAGAGCTAAGTTCCATGCTAGTCACTGGGGCAGTGATGGAGTTCATGGGGGCTGGCCCACCCTCTCGCCAGGATTTTTCCTCCATCCCATGCAACTTCCCACAGAAGTCGTCACACTAATTTAAAAGCAGGAATGTAACAAGAAATATTCAAGCGAGTACAATCTGGCCCTGTAAGCAAACTGATAACCAAGGTAAGCTGACAAGCACTAGATGGTTTGCTCTCAAACATGAACAGCAACAAAGTTTATTGAGGAAGAAACACACAGACTGACATCAATATCAACACTAAGCCAGGAGTTGTGGTTTTCCATAGCATGTGCCTCCCTCAGGCAGGCCGACAACCTACGAAAGCAGTTCACTGCTACAACTAAGTGACAGACCGGGCCCAGCTGCAGGGAAAGGTCACTGTAGCTCTGATATCTGCTCACACTGTTGACTCACCCTCCTGCCAGAGGGACCGGCCTCTCTCCACCCTCAAAACCTCACTCCTAACGTAATGTCCCCCACTCAGCTTTTCACCCTTCCCCAATCCTCAGCACCTTGGGGCTGATCCAGAGCGCTGTGGCTGGGGTAGATTTCTGTGCTCTGTCTCTCACAAGGGCTTACTCCCAGGAAAGCATCCCTAGGACCAGGGGTCATTTCCTGCGGGAGGGCACAGGAGCGGAGCTCCACCAGTAAGGAGCCCAGGGGGCGGGCACATGCAACAAGCCCAACTCCCTGTTCCCAGCAGCCCTCAGTCAGGCCACGAGGAGCAAGAAGCAGCCAGGTAAGTTGCAGAGCCCCCCCCCCGGCCCGCCTTCAGGTACAAGCTCTCCCTCCTTTATGAGGGCAAATCTGCACATTCCCTCCCCCCATAGCTAGCAATCCAAAACAGTCCAGTGGAGCCTGAGTGGTGAGTGTTGCCTTCTGACACACTTCCAGTGATGTCAGGGGGTGTGGCATATGCAAATAAGTTATGCTAATGAGCTCCTGCACCTCTTTTTCTACAAAATTACCCCTGCCTAGGACTACAGCCTCGGAGAACTGTTTCCCTTCCTTGGGTAGTTGACAGCTGTGCGCCTTCCCTCGGCAGCCCTTGTACACAAAGAAAAAATGGCTGTTTCCTTCCCACAGACCCCACCACTCAGTCTTCTAATAGGCTTCCCCACCCCCTCAAAGGTACCTCAGCGTAAAGGTCATGCATAAACATATATTGGGAAAGACCAGAAGGGAGCCATACCTCTCCGCTCCGCTAGGCATTGCTTCAGCAGTTTGCTGGCTCCCCTCCGCCCTTGTTTAGCGGCCAGGACCAGCCACTGAACTGCTCTGCAACTGTTCAGCTCCTCATCTCGGTCTTCAGCCAGTTTCAGGTAGTACTTCCCCACCTACAAAACAGAACAAGATCTGTGTATGCAGCTCGCATCGTTGCTCCCACAGAGCTAAAGTAGCCGCATTACACACCAATGCGGCTGTCTCAGGAAGAACAAGGGAAGAACCACTTGAAGGGTGGCAAGACACCCAACAGCCTTACGTCCCAGAGGCAGATGAGAGGCTGCCCAAGAGAGATCCTGACCGTGGTCTGGCCCATCCAGCTGAGCATCACCTACTCTGACCAGCAGACGCTTGCCAGGGTCTCGCGCAGAGAAGGAGAGTTCCTGATCCTGGAGAGGCCCAGAACAGAACTTGGGGCCTTCTGTGCTCAAAGCCCCAAAGCCCCACTCAGCCATCCCTCCCCCACGGGTGCCCAGCATCCTTGGTGGGTTCAATACAATCTCCCTCCCTCAGCGGAGGGAGGACCTGAACACACACCTCGATTTGAACAGGAAGTTCATACATCTGGCCCATTTCTTACCATAATGGGCCGTTATTTGGTATACCATGAGGGGGTCAGCAGAGGGCAACACTACACATTTATATTGGTTTTACGCATGTTTAACTGTCACAGCCTTCCCCAGAGACTCCCGGGGCTGTAGGTGGGATGGATTCTTATCAGAGAGCCCTGACCCTCCCCTCACAGCACTGTAGTCCACAGGGTACCCCAGGGAGAGTGCGAATGACGGATAAGCCAGGGGACATCTCCGGGGCAGATACTTCCCGACAGAGACTTTCTGTATTATTGACACTTGTCTCTCACCTAGGAGAAAGCACTACCCTCGGTGCAGATTGGAGCAAGCTATTTTATAATCAATAAGATCTGTGGAGAAAAATGGCTGCCCAAATAGTATAATGCCTGGAGACCAAGCCCTGCAAGGAAAGGCTGAGGAATTTGGGAAAGTTCAGTCTGGAGAAGAGGAGGCTGAGGGGGGACATGATTGCTTTGAAGGGCTGTCCCTTAGAGGAGGGCAGGGAGCTGTTCCTGGTGGCAGCAGAGGAGAGGACGTAATATCATGGGTTTAAATTAAGGGCGGGAAGATAACGGCTGGATCTGAGGGAAAACTTTTCGATGGTCAGAGTTGTGCCACAGTGGAATCAGCTGCCTCGGGAGGTGGTGAGCTCCCCCTCCCTGGCAGTCTTTAAGCAGTGGCTGGAGAAACATTGGTCAGGGCTGCTCTAGGCTGATCCTGCACCGAGGAAGAGGCTGGACTAGATGGCCTGTATGGCCTCTTCCAACTCTGTGATTCAATGATTCTATTTCATGAAACAAACTGAAAATGCAGTAAAACCAATACAAAAACATCAGACAGCCGTCCATAACAAATTTTCCAAAATCCAAGCAGATGGGACCTCAAAAGTTGAACTCCACAAGATCTCAAAGATCATCTCACTTCCTCACACGGAAATGGAGCTCATAATCAAGACGTTTCAAACACAAAACAGGGGTCTTATTTCGGCCCTTTATAAATTCCTACTCCAAGACTCATTTTCGAAAAAACGTTCTTACCAAAAAGCTTGGAATCTGGATTGTAATAATGAATTAAAAGAAGAACACAACTCTGTGATTTTATGATTCTATTTCATGAAACAAACTGAAAATGCAGTAAAACCAATACAAAAACATCAGACAGCCATCCATAACAAATTTTCTAAAATCCAAGTAGATGGGCCCTCAAAAGCCGAAATATTAAAACACTCTTCCTAGGAGTCAAAAGCCCTCCTAAAAAGCTCAGTTATCTTTCCTCTCCTCTGGACCTGCAGAGGGGATGTGGCTCCTTTAATATCCCTTGGGAACCTATTCCATAAGATTAAAGGGGCTACTGAAAAAGCCTGCAAATAGATAGTTGCTGCTTCTACCCTTGTGGAAGATGGAACATTTTCATCTCCTGTGACAACCCCCACCCCACCGCTGACTTTCACCCTTCTTTGTGAAAAGCTACGAGAGCATTTGCAAGAAGGCACGGGACAGGGGAAGATGGCTTGCAGCCAGTACTGCAAATTTAGAGCCAAAATGTGGGTAAGGATGAACGTGGCAGTGCAGGACGCCCATGGAACGTGAATCCAAATGGCCAGCCACACTCTGACCCCACGGAGGGATCTGCAACTCCACAGGGTCGGAGACGTAGCTGGGCCACGAATGTCATTTGCCAGTGCAGAAGGGGAACCTCCTTGCCCGGGCCCCAGTAAGACACGGGGCTCTTCCCCCCTCCCAAACGGGAGATGACGGGGGGAGCGTCTCTGAAGGGGGGAGGAAAAGATGTGGGAAACAGCAGAGCACGGATGTTTTCACAAGGACCTGTGTGTCCCTGGGCGTGGCAACTTTTGCAGTGAAAAACCGGCACAACATTCCTTGTAAAGTTAGACAGCGTAAGTCTTCAGAACGATAACAAACAACATTTTCCAAGACCCGGCGTTAAAGAAGGAACATGTTACCTCTGCCTGGGCTTTGGATTCCCCAGCTTTTGCCCTTTCAAGCAGTTCCTCAAAGAGTGCCTCTGGTTCCTCCTTTGTGGCGTCTACAAAAACACAACAACAACACACCAGTCAGAGAGACCTCTGTGCTTCACAGACAGTTTGGTACATGAAGAGGAGCTTTGTGCCCAGCACCACTTACAACCACTTCGGTTCATCCAGCTCCGTGGATCGGGCCCTATAAACAGCCAAGTGAGTTGCCGAGAGGACGATTTCCTCCAATGCCAGTCAATCGCCTTGACTGTTCTGCCACTTTCACTGCCAAAAAACTATTCTAGCGCTATTTTATATGACTGACAAACGCTAATCATAGAGCAAAGTTTGAGTCCAGTTGGTTAAGACCAACAAAGTTTAATTCTGGGTAGAAGCTTTCGTGTGCCCGCACAGCTTATACCCAGAATAAAACTCTGCTGGCCTTAGAGGTGCCTGACTGGCCTCAAACCTTGTTCTGCTGCTTCAGACCAGCACGGCTGCCCCACCTGAAGAGGCTAATCATAACCTTGCCTGTCCCAGGCACCACACTGGCACTGTGGGATACCACGGCCAGCTGAAAGGGATTTTGATTGTGTAGAGAGGTTGTCTTGAGATCGCCCTATTCCACACTGACATACCAGACGTTTGCTCTACAGGCTCTGCAACTCCTCCCTTTCCTCCCACAAGAGTCAAAGAATCTTCACTCCCCATACATGTTTACTTTTAAGGGCCCAGTTTCAGCACCGCATGAGCTCTGACTCATCCCAATGAACAGTCAGTCTTCAAAACAAATGCATACTTGAAAAGGTCACCTTCTTAGCTCTTGGGATGAGACACACAAGAGTTTGCTCATAGCCTTTGAAAGAAATGCATCTTCTCGCTTCTTAACAGAGATTGCCGCACCTCTGAAAAACCCATACACTTGCTTCCTCCACACCCAGCTTCATGTGAGACAATCAGATTTTCCGGATATATTTACTTACTCTCATCCACTGTATAACCAGCTTAGATTCTTCAAGGTTTTAAAGTTAGCACAGCTGTTGCAAAGTCCTGGGGGAAGCTGTCATGATTCACCAGCTTTTATGAGCTTATTTCTTCAATAAGTTGGTCAAAGAGGCTGCAGCAATCCTCCTTCAAAGTTACTTACTTTATTTGAGAACCAGCTTTACTTTATATATCTGAGCTATCTACACATTAAATACTTTATTTTCTGTTAAATAAACATTTGTCATTCATCTCCACCCATGTCTTGTCTGTCAAGTCGAATATCTAAGAAAATGTGATCTCCATTTACCTGACACGTAAGTACAGCCTTGGTCTGGCAGGTTTCCAAATAAGAGACCTTTGGAGAGAACACCGCTTCACACGCTACCAATCTTTATTTTAAAGCTTGTGCCCTCCTTTTTGTTTGCTCGTGGGAGCTTGGGGCATACGAAGACTCCAGGAGAAGCCAGAGTGGGGGGACTGGACAGTACTCAGTCCCTCAGAGCCCCCCCTCCACCCCCATAGCTGCCTCATTTTGTCTACAGGCCAGATCCAACGCCTTTCCTTGTTTCAACCTGGCTTTGCAGGTAAGTAAACATAGAAATGCCACCCTTTTCTCATTCACAGCAGAACCTTGATATAAAGGAAATATTTCTTTAAACAGAGAGTGATTAAAATGTGGTATTCACTGCCAGAGGATGTAGTGATGGCCACAGATAAACAGCTTTAAAAGGGGATTAGGTAGATCCATGGAGGATAAGTCTGTGAATGGCTACTAGCCATGGCAACTAAAGGGAACCTCCACATTCAGAGGCACTAAACCTCAGAAGCCCAGAGTCAGAAGGCAACCTCAGGGGAAGGCCTCGGCCTCTGTGCCCTGTTGTGGGGTCTCCAGAAGAACTGGACGGCCACTGAGTAAGACAGGATACTGGACTAGATCGACCATGGGTCTGATTCAGCAGGGCTCTTCTGATGTTCTTAGATACTCAGTGGACAAGTGCAGGGGCAGGCACCTTCAGCTTTCCTTTCCTGCCACACCAGCCCAAGACTCACAGTGGCCAATAGTTTGTCTCCATTGAAGTAATGACTTGACAGTTCTTTTGGCAAAAAGCACATTCTCCTGCATCACTTTTTAAACTCTCTGCTCACTTAACTAGCTAGTGCAGGACCTACCTAATGTGGCACCATAGCAGACAGAAAACTGTCCTGCCAGTCAGAGGCAAAACAGACACTGGGCTGTTTCGACACCTTAGCCTATGGGAGTGCTGCTCCAGCGACCATTCTCCTTTCAGAGGGGGGTCGAGGGCAGACTCAGAAGGATAATTGTCTCTGCATGGAAGTAGACAATTGTGTGTGAAGCTCTGCCCAGGACTGTGGCTGAGTGGTTTAAGCGGGATACACTTCTGGGTAGCAGTGTGTGTGAACAGGATCTTGGGGTACGGACTGACACTAAGTTAAATAGGAGCAGCCAGTGTGACGCATCAACAAATAAGGCTAATGCGATCTTGGGGTGTATCAACAGGCATAACATCCAAATCGCAAGATGTCATAGTCCCACTGTACCCTGCATTGGTCAGGCTGCACCAGGAGTATGGTGTGCAGTTCTAGAGGCCTCACTGCAAAAAGGATGTGGACAGAATGGAGTGGGTGCAGACAAGAGCGACGAGGATGATCGGGGGCCTGAAGACCAAGATCCTTTCCCCTGCTTTTGTCTCTGAAGTTCTTGCCCCATAAATATTACGTTGTCCTTCTGGAACTTCAGTCCTTGTCTTTGGGCTATTTCACTCCTTGCCTACCTGCATCCATGCTTTGATGCCCAGAACAAGGTTTCCACCAAAACCTTGAAAAACCCTCCGAGTTTAAGCGCCTGTTTTTTTTCCAGAGACAGAATTTAAAATGCCATTTTTTATTTCATACTATTTGACTCAAATCGGAACTAAACTCAAACATCACCGCTGTCAAAAGCGAGAGCTGTGTATCTGGTTCCCCACTTCCCTTCTGTAATGCCTAGCAGAGATTACCCCCATCCCGATTTGCCTGATTTCCACATTTTCCACCCTTCCCACCAGCAACAGCCAGGGATGTGAGATGGGCAAGTTTGCACTGAGCGCTCCAAAGGGGTGAAGAACCAGAGAATGCGACTATCACTTTTGGAGGCAGTTGCGCATTTCTCATAGGGTCTACCATGCCCCTCAATATACCTTCTAATTCACAGGATTCTCGCCTCTCTAAGCCAAGGACTAGTAATACAGGAGGTCTGATCTCCTGAATCCAAACATTAGCTATCCCAGAGGCTATTTTTAGGTTTCTGAGAAAGATTCTTGTGCAGGAAACAAATGCCAAGCCAGCTGCATATGCCCCACAGGCACTCCCATTTGCGGGGGGGGGGGGAATAAAACAGAAATGCAACAATTACCAGAGAAGAGCCTCATCATTCTACTAGGTAGTTATGCAAAAGAGCGAACATGAGATGCATCGACTCAACAAAGGAGGCCACGGCCTTCAGTCTGCAAGATCTGAGCAATCTTGTCAATGATAAAATGTTTTCAAAAGCCATCAGTTCGTAGCGGAAGAGACTTGGTGGCAAGTTACACACACACTCCAAGAGACAGTTCAGAGAGTCCACTTTTCTTTTAACCAACACGTTCCAACAGTCCCCTGGGAGACATTAGCAGAAACAGTTGTCCACAACTAGATATGACAGGCGTTACATTGAGGAACTAACATCCCTAAGATTTTGGGTCCCGATTTGGCTTGGTAGTGCAGGAAGGGGGGGGGATTTCAGCCTCCTCCCTGCATCATTTTCCTGAGCAGAAATGGCTACTGGCGGGGTGCATCTGTGTGTGTCAGGCACAGGGCAAATAGGGCCATTTCAGGAAAAGTGCAGAGGTGAAGGCTGAAGCCCGAAGGGCCCCCCCCCCAGCCATGCTTCTGAGCCAAATTGGGCCCTGGTGCGTTTGGCAATGTCAGTTCCCCAACACAAGACTGTCTAGAAGTCAGAGATCACGTTTACTTCAGCTCTGAAGGGGCAGGTATGAACTGCGTTGAACTGTTCCTGAATTTTCGTCTCTAAGAGCCAACCTGCTAATTAGGCTCCGGCTTCAGGCCTGCCCCTCTTCTTTTCCGGTTTTAAGATCGTTGAGTCCCCAGGGGCTCCAGATTTAGCTACTGAAATCTGTTCTCCCCGGGGTTGCCTTTGAAGTCTGTGGTACCTGGAGCTCCAGAAGCCTCCAGTTCTTACGAAACAGATGGCAGCAGCTTCCAAGAGCAATTACAAGTTCAAGGCAAAAACCTCAGGCCTTGCATACCTGCTCCCTTGCGTCTCACTCACTTCGGCCCAGAGCACCCACTTGGTGAAATTCCCCCCCCCCCCGGCATGGCCTGAGACCGAGGCCTGGCCCCCGAGGAGGCTCGTAACCACATGGAGAGAGTCTTCTGCAGCCACCAGCCTTCCTGAAAGGCTGTACAGGACTGGCAATCAAGGCTCCCTCTAAGCTGAGCAAAAATTCTATTTTGTGAGCTCACTGGCATCGACATTGTCAGCGAGCGATTTGGCTACTGAGATCATGAACAAAACAGCTGCCTGTTCCTTTCATGAATTTGTATTGAAAGCCTCAATGGGAAAAAGGGTAGGATACAAATTTGGAAATTATACAATGGGGGATTTGTGGGAGCCCATTTCTCTTGACTCCCTCCAACTCTCCTGTCTCACTGGAACACCCTTCCCCAGGACTGCTCCCCTGACCGCATTCGGGCCACGCAGACTCACCCCAGGTCCCTCCCCCTTATTGTCAGACTGTGTTTCTTGTCAGTTCAGCTTGACAGCAGGTTCTTATTCACACAGATGTCCAACAGGCTCTTGATTCATTGGCATTCACAACGGGTATTACTTTATCTACTTTATCAGTAGATCATTAAGAAGTTTTACATAGAAAAAGCCCCATTTGGAACCACAAGTTGTGCATTTTTCTCAAGAATCCTCGCTGCTGCCTAATTTATTTTCTGACTGACTGACAAGGGTAATTTATATGCTTTGCTCACAGAGGGAGAGAAAGCTGAAATGCAAGTTTTCTTTATTAAATGCTAAAACATCCTTCCCCTTGACATTTAATCTCCTCCCACACTCAAAAGAAATTGTGCATACGTGTAATTCCAGGCACGCAGTACTAGAGACTTTATAGTCATGGTGAACAATGTGTGGTAGGAGATCCACAGTTCATCTGGAAGCCTTTTGTTGCTCCAGTTTCTCTCACAATTTGCTGGGTGGGAGAATCAGCGCTAATATATATATTTTTTCTGAGTAATGTCCAAAATGGCATGAGACAGGAGGGGCAGAGCACTCCTGAAACTCATCATAGGGAAGATATATGCAGAAGCCCAGAGAGGAACAATGGGGTGCTTATGGTGGTAAGGTCAGCCTGCCCTCTTTCAAGCAACTTTTAAATACAACATGCCGGTTGAACCGCTTTAATTCAGTCCTGTTGGTATACCCCTGAACACACTTTCAGGAGAATGTGCCAACTCTTCTGTGACTACTGAAGCGCACTGAACCAGCTTCTCCCACTGCAAGACAAACGGGCAGCAACACTGCCTCCCCAGGACTGAAGATCTCCTCCTACCTCCTGGATCTAATCTAACATTCAAGAAAGGAACAGCTGTACTTTGCATCTTTAAGGGGAGCCAGCTCCTCGCCAGTCTCATTCTTTGCCAAAGAAAAGTTGAACGTGGGCTCCAGCAATATACACCAACGGCACTAGCCATTCCTCTTGACTTCACCTGATGTCCAGACATCCAGCAGAGCTACCAGAAGTCCCTCGTATTGGGACCAAGGGCCAGGTAATCAGCGGAGTTTGCAAACAGCACCTAATTCTGGGTACTGCAACAAAGCCATAATGGTACCCAGAGAACACCTGTTGCCAAGATGGGCCCCGAAGAGACAATAACAGAACACCACTATTGGTCACATACAGCTCTCAGTTCAAAACAGTTCAACGTATCATCAGTGACTTACAACCTCTGCTGGATAATGACAGTTCTCATTCACAAGTACGGGGGGGGGGGAACAGGGACGTTTTCTAATGCACAGACAGCCCCCCAATCTCAAACAACTCCTCACCCACAATAATGCAGCATCTCATTTGAACATGGACACTGGTACCAGAGCTTGCAGTTAACCCAGATGTCAACTTTGCTGCCCCTTACGCCCAGATAAAACAATCACTGGACCCAACAACATCAACTATACCCTCTCAGGTTTATTCACATACTCATCTTCTAACACGGTATATACCTTTACATGCCGACAATGTCCTTCAGTTCTTTCCATAGGTCAAACAGATCAAGCCCTATGACAAAGGATAAATGGACACAAATCTGAAACCTGCAGAACACTTCCAGGACATTCAGTGGGTGACCTCAGAGTAGCTGTTTTGTTGCAAAGGGACTTCAGGAACAGACTAGAAAGGGAAACTGTTGAGTTGCAGGTTATTACAACGCTCAGAACAATGGGATCCCCAGGACTTAACAGGGATATTGGTTTCTTATCTCACTACATAGGCTAACCTAATTTAGCTCTTACATCCGTACTCTTAACAATCCCCCAGAACGGCCATATGTCCTCTTTACTTTATTTCTCATCTGGAATAACAGATTAGAGTAGTAGTTTTTTTATTTTGAACTTTTTGAGGGAATACAGAATACAGAAAAGGGGCAAGGGAAAAGAATAAAAGGTGAAATTACCAAAATGTAGTATAAAGGGCATGTTTTGCAAATATAAAGGACAATGCTTGATTCAAATACTTGAATCTTTAGGGAAATTATATAACATTATAACTTTAAAAACCACTATAACAACCTACTCAGCGTTCTACCATTTTCTGTTTTCAGTGAGGTGCTTTTAAGCACCTTTTAAGGTTTCAGTCTTCAGAATCCAAACCATCTCACGACATCTCGCACCAGCAGAGCTGGCAAGTATCTGCTCCTTCTGAAAACATGTCTGCAAATAACACACATGCCTCTCAAACAAAAGGCTGCTTGCTGGAGGGAGCAAAGAGGAGGAGAAGATATTAAAAATAGCAAAGAACATATTTCCAAGGGCTCCATTAGGCTTTTAAAGAATTCACCAATTGTGACAGCAAGCCTTCTTTCCAGAAAAGGAAATATTATCAGGCACCCGAAAGACATGCCTATTCGCATTTCTGCAATTCCAAAAGGTTTTCTGCTTTTCTCTATGCTATGCAGCTAAAGCAATATTTAGCAAGACAGAGACTATATTTTAAAAGGACACCTTCTTAGTGCTATTACATATGTTTGTGGAAAGGGTGAGACATCGGGCTTTCGACACAAACCATCTACAAGACAGCCAGGCGAGTTTCTTCTTCTCACCGATCTGCCTTTCAGCTGCTGGAGTTTCCAAGGACTCTCTGTGTGGAATCGAGCAACTTTTTTACAGCTGAGCTCGTATCTGTAAGCAGATTTAAGGCAGGGAGATTCTGCAAACCATTGCCTTAAGTGGGACATAGTTTTGCATTCACACCGGCACCTCTTCTCTGCGATAAATTCAGGACTGGCGTTCTAATTAAAGACATCACTTGGAATCAAATGCGTAGGGCACCAGCTGTTCCTGGTAACACACACACACACACCCCTTACCACATCGAGTGCGGAGGAGACACCACTTCTGCAAAGACACTTTGATAGTAAGGTCAAAAACAGGACGGGTCGATATCTAACTGTTTCCAAACATAACCCCCACACAGGACTTTCAGCATGGCTTTTACCAGCACCTCAAATGCTCATAATCAATAAACACACCAAAGCAACCAGAGAGAACGGATCCTATCCAATCCCGCCACAGCCAGTTCTTGTTCACCTCCTGTTGCCAAACAGGCCTTCTGCACAAGTGAATCTCTCCCAACTTGCTAGATGTCAGGAGAGAGGCTCCCTGGGCAAGGAAGCCCGTAAGGAGGGAACTGCTCCTGAGAAGGCCACCCACGAAATCTATGAGGGCACCCAAACTCGGGCCTTTACTTTTGGTGCTTCAACCTGTTCTTATGGGTCTCTTTACAAAACTGGAGTAAGTCTCCTAATTAAATACCTGATATTTTCTTCATTCTTACTACAAAGGACATGCAACTAAACCGACAACCAGCTGAGAAGCGGGGGGGGGGGGGGGGGGGAGCTGTTATGATCACATGAGGAGATCAGATTAACCAGTTGGCCTTTGCTGCCAAGGAAGGCGTGTCCACTGCAGAACGTCTAAGGCAGAAACGGAGCAGCATGGAACTCAGTCAGCCAGGAAGGTACTGGCTGGATCGGAGAGAAAACGTTTTGACAGGAAGAGTTGTGCAACAGTGGAATGGGCTGCCGGGAGGTGGTGGGCAGCGGCTGGACGAATACTTGCCAGGGATGCTCTCTAGGCTGATCCTGCACTGAGTAGGGGGGTTGGACTAGATGGCCTGGCGGGCCCCTTCCAACTCTGTGATCCTATGGTTCTATGTCAGGCAAAAACTAGCCCGTGGGTCAGGAACAGGCAACCTGTAGCATCATGCATGTGACACAGGGCATGCGACATCCTTCTAACTCGGTATGCAGGGCCAATTCTCCGCCTAAGGGACAGAGGCAAGCTGAAACGACGGCTGGACTGCAGAGGCACAGCCTGTAACCTTCCCCTCAACAAACAAACCAGCACCTTCACAAGCACACCCTGCAGGGTTTGGGCCCACAGATATTCGGGTGTCCTGCCATCCCACCCTCAGCGTGTTCCATGGAAGTAAGTATTAGCATTCTTGCTCCATAGGGGGTCTAGGATCACCAAGGCACCCGTCATTCTTCAGTTACATATACTTACGGAAGAAGAAGAAGAGATTGGATTTATCCCCCATGGCCCTTCACTACCCAAAGGAGTCTCAGAGCAGCTGACAAACTCCTTTCCCTTCCCCTCCCCACAACAGACACCCTCCTGTGAGGGAGGCGGGGCTCAGAGAGCTCTTGTCTTGACAGAAACTGCTCTTTTTTCAAGATCAGGTCTTATCAAAACTGCAGCTTGCCCAAGGTCATCCAGCCAGGTGCAAGTGGAGGAGTGGGGAATCAAACCCGGTTCTCCCAGATTAGAGTCCGCGCACTTAACCACGACACCAAACTGAAGAGTGACATTTGTACTCCGGTTGTCGCTCCAAAGACAGTAAATCAGAAGACGCACAATGAAGACGTGTGGGTGGACAACTGATGTGGCCAGATGACTGGCACTGGCCACATCCACAGGGGGATCCCCCCCCCGGCAAACATCAGGACAGCCGCTAGTGCAGCAGACCAATGGCAGTCCTAGGGTGCACGTAAGAAGGCAAGAACCGCCATGTTGGACTAGGCCAAGACCTCTGTGGTAAGAGAGCCAATAGGCCTTTAGCTCCAAAACCCGGCTTTTGCTCTTCCTCTGGAAAACCCAGAGCCACTTTCCTGAGGCTCCGGGTGGTCTCCAATCCAGGCAATGACTGGCTTCACCACAGCTACAGCAGGCAGGCACAGCAGACAAAAACTCCCCCCCCCCAACAGCCTCTCCTTTAGAGGAGGGGGAAAGAGAAGCCGGGGCCGAAGAGAGCAATCCTCCCGCTGAGGACATCAGGCTCACATCAGCTGGGGGTATAACTGGATTCCAAAACAGCCTGTGGGCAACCCTCGGCCTCTGCCACCTTCTGCGGAAGGCACCCTGTGATGACGGAAACTCCGCACGACACTCACAGCCCATGGCTCTCTCCCCGCCCCCAGCTCACTCACCCTCTCCCTTGTTCCCATGGCCCGGCGCCCGGAATGGAACAAGGAGATGAGGCAAGGTAGCCTCCAGAACGGGGCTCCAGTTTCAGGTTTCCTCACCTTGGCTTTCCATAGCAGCAGCATTTAGCTGAGACCTTCCAAGGGGAGCGTAAGTGGGGCTGGAAGGAAGTTCCTGTGCAGAGTCCATTTCTGATGCAGATTAGGAAGAAGAAGAAAAAGACAGGCTGGGGTTAGCCCGCACAGGCCAAGGAAGCAAAGCTTGTAATATATAAACCACAGAAGAACGGGTTGTAAACATGGGATCAACAGGAAGGCTGGCTTTGCTTCTGAGAAAGTGCAAATAGCACCAAGAAACGTTTTTCACTGGAGTTCATGGAGGCAGAGGCCCAACGGGGAGAGAAAGCTGATTCATCCTCTGAAGCAGAACAAAATGCTTTTCTGGCAACCACCTCCTTATTCAGCGTTTTGAATTGGCCCTGCTTGATGCGGCAGGCCTGGCACACCCGTTAAAATAAGCAGTGCACACTTCTGTGCCCACTGCAACAACGGTTGTGTCCTGCTCCTAACACCTGTGTGCAAGTTCCAAAAGGTCAGCAGAGATCGGGCTTTTGCTGCTCTGGAAGCAGAGCTGGGTGCAAGAAGCCCTCTTTTGCGGCTCCTGAATGTCTCAGGACTAGGGTTGCCAGCCTCCAGGTGGGGCCTGGGGACCTCCCGCTTTTACCACTGATCCCCAGCCGACAGAGATCAGCTCCCCTGGAGAAAATGGCTGCTTTGAAGGGTGGGCTCTGTGGCATTGTACTATGCTGAGGCCCAGGGCCGGATTTAGACTTGCTGAGGCCCTAAGCTATACAAAACCCAGAGGCCCCCTCCTTTTTAAAATTACATCAGCTGGTCTCAGAAAAAATTAAAATATATACACCTTTTTAATATTTGAAATCATTTTTATATTGTGTTTTTATTCGAGGCCCCAGCAGATTGCAAGGCCCTAAGCTGTAGCTTATTTAGCTTATGCGTAAATCCGGCACTGCTGAGGCCCCTCCCCTCCCCAAACCCCGCCCTCTCCTGGCTCCACCCCCAAAGTCTCCAGGTATTTTCCAACCCAGGCTTGGCAACCCTACTCAGGACACACCCCGAGCGTCATCTGTTGGAGGAGGCGAACTGGAAACCACCAGCCGACGACTGGCATTTCTGCGGTGGGGGGGGGGCTCGTCTCACTGTCCCGAGAACTTTGCTTTGGTTTCGTTTTTGTTTCCCCCAGAGGGGAATTTTTTATTGATTTTTTTTAATACACCACAAATCACTAACAGAAAAAGAGGGAAAGGGAACTACATGTACGGGAGAAAGCAAAGAAGCCACTACTAACTAAAAACCCAAGATAGGAGATCTTCCAAGCTTCTTCTTTAAAAACCCAGAGTCTTTCATCGCTATACTGCTTATGAACTGAGTCATTATTTTAGCCCTTTTAAAGGTTTCCCTTGCTCGAAAGCCAGTCGAATCCGACTCTAGGGTTGCAGTGCTCATCTCCGTTTCAAAGCCGAAGAGCCAGCGCTGTCTGAAGACGTTTCCGTGGTCATGTGGCCGGCATGACTAAACACCGAGGCGCACGGAAAGCTGTTACCTTCCCACCAAAGTGGTACCTATTTATCTACTTGCAATTTCTTGCTTTCGAACTGCTAGGTTGGCAGGAGCTGGAACTAGAGACGGGCGCTCACTCCGTCATGCGGCACACTCGGGTCTCGAACTCCTGAACTACCGACCTTCCACAGCCTGCAGTTCAGCGTCTTAACCACTTGAGCCACCGCAGCTCCAATTTAGCCCTTTTACCTTCCCCTTTTATATTTCCTTGCCCCTTACCCTACCTCCCCACCCTCCCCCTAGAATGTCCCGAGAACTTTGGAGCGACGCCAGACCGCTCTGGGGGGGGGCACCGGTGAACGGAGAGAGTGGCCCCCCACCACTGTTCCCTCTAAGCTGAGTGAGTGTGAGCCAGCTCACCGTTTTTTAGCCTCCGGCTCACCCATTTTCGTCTCCGCTAAGGAAGGACGGGGCTCCAGAGCCAACTAACTTATGCAGCAGCCAGATGGCTCGCTTGCAACTTTAAGGCCAGGCGCTCACCGAGTAGCATTTTTGCTCACAAGACTCCACCGCTTAGAGGGAACATTGCCCCCACCCCCACCCCGAAGAAGACGGCGTTGCGGTGCCCCAAGCAGAAGCCTCCTCTCCGTCCCCAGCGCCCATCACCCGGGAAAGAGGGGTTCGGACCAGGGTTCCCTCTAAGCTGAGTTAGTGTGAGCTAGCTCACAGTTTTTTAGCCTCCGGCTCACACATTTCTGCCTTAGCTCAGGAAGGGATGGGGCTCCAGAGCAAACTGATTGATGCAGCAGCCAAATCTCCTGCTCACAACTGTCATGCCAGTAGCTCACAAAGTAGAATTTTTGCTCACAAGACCCCACCGCTTAGAGGGAACATTGGTTCGGACATCGTGCGCCCCCCCTCCCCCAGGCTCTTCTTCCAACGCCCCCC